ACACACTCATGCACACACCAAAAAAAAATCAATGAAAGATCAACACTGCCATCTACTGAGGCTTTCTTGGAGAATAGACTAAGTTGGGAAGGCTTTCTGTTTTGTTTTATAACATTGCCTTTCGAGACCTCAAATCTGGTTTATCTTCCACCAGCAGCAGGGGTTACTAGCAATACAGGCAAGAGATCAGGATCGCACAGACACGAGTTTAAGACGTGGAGTTTGTTCACCCTGGACAGGAATGGACCCGAGGGGTGTGGTCTCAGATTTCCGACACAGCTGAGGTGGGGCAAAGGCCTGGCGTGTGGGACCGAAGGCGAAGTGACAGGGTACAAGGAAGAGCCTGTCAGTAAGTGTTGCTTTCCAAAAATACCTTGTCCTGTCAAATGGTGAACTCATCCCTGGTCTCCAAACATGGGGGCACAGGCAGTGCACCCCTGTCCCAGAAGTGACAGAAAGAATGTCTGTGTTTCTGAGGAGCTAGATCACCTGAGAGCTGTGGCACTCAACTGTTTCGGAGAGACTCCAGTGTAGCCGGGGCGCCGGAGCCTAAGGGGAAGGGAGCGGAGCTGAATCTGCTGCGCCCCCTGCCGCACCCAGCATGCTTTTAGCAAGCATGGGTTGGTGTACCACACTTCTCCACCCCTAGGACACACTCCTGAAAAATCCCGCCCTGAAATCTAACCAACCAAACTCTTGTTCCTTTCTCCAGTAAAGGTTGTAGAGAGCACCATCCCAATGAGATCAAAGCAGACCCTTTTCACTCACCACGTTACACACACACACACACACACACACACACACACACACACACACACACAGAGTAAAGAATATGTATATTAGAATTACAAATTTAGTAAAACTGGAAAGATGTCTGAAATCATCGGGTTCACTGAGCCCAAACGGGGCTGAGGTCTGGAATGCTGGATTTAAGAACTCTCAGCTTTAAGTGGGAAGATAGTGCAAGAAAAAGAAAGAGATGAATGGTATGTACAGGATTGGTTATACAGTCAATGCTCAGTAAAGATATATTGAAAATGTAAACAATGTTCTTTCACATTAAATAATTCCTATTACTATTTACTTTACTATTATTATTACTATTACTATTTACTATTACTATTACATTACTATTTAATTTGCATTAAATAGTAAATGGTGCCGGGAAAAAGGGGAAAGGACTCATGGACGTGAGGGAGGGGGCATCAGGGGACTAAACGGTAATGGGAAAAAATACAATCAAGATTACATTAAAAAAATACAAGGTGCTGGGCTCTAAGGAGAACCCACTGTTTTTTTTTAAACAACGTTGAGTGTGAGACAAGTACAAACTACTAAAAGGCCGATAGAAGTAGTCGGTGGAATAAGTAAAAGGAGAATCCGCAGGGAAGCCGGAGACGGGTGGGGCGGGGAGTAAAGACAGGAGAAGCTGTCTGAGACCTGAGAGGGGCTGGGGTGCAGAGCTGGCAGGCCCTCCGTGTGGAGCCCAGGGTGAAAGACTTTGCTCCTACAAAGGAATCACCCAGCTCCACAGCTTCATGCTGTCCGACCAGTTCGTGTTCACTTAGGGTTCCTGTGACTGCATGATCATTCACTCAACAAAGTCTTCTTGGGACCTGCTCTGAGCCAAACCCCGAGCGAGGCAAGAGGTTCACACACATGAGTGGGAGGTGGTCCCTGCTTTGGGGTATTCATCTGCAGCTGCAGAGGCAGGACAGCTGCAAAGGTGGGACAGAGTTTGTGTCCGGGCTTACAGGGAAGCGTTCGTGCGACAGGGCATGGCTCCACGGAGGGCGGAGAGGACTGCATTGAGACATGGGTGGCATCGTGCTTCTGACAGGGCACTCCAGGCGGCCATGCTCCCTGGGAGACAAGGGACCAGCAGGGGTAGCAGCCCTGTAACTCTGGGAACCTATTTTGTTAGTCCTTACAGGAGGCCTTGGGAAAGGGAAAGGTGTGAAACCACCCGCTTCCTTCAAGGTGAAGAGGGCGAGTCCTAACACCCCTGAGGGGTTAACAGGGGAGTGAAGCTGAACCGGAGGCTGTGCTGAACTGATCTGGAAACACTGCGGCTGGGGAGGGGGGGAGGACAGAGAACTACACAGGCGGGATGAGTGTGGGGTGGAAGAAAGGACCCCTGAGCGGACCCTTGGGGATGAGGCTTGCAAGCAGGAGGGGCGGGGAGGGTGTGGGGGGAGGAGTGCAGGTCCAGCAGCTGGCAGAGCCCCAGCCAAGCGGCCGGGGGTGTCACCTCTGGGAACCCAGTGAATCAATGACTGGCAACAACAAGGGTGCTGGGTGGGAGGAGTGGCACAAGTGAGGCGTTTTCATTCACACTATATTTCACCCATTTCGTGTGTGCAATGAATGGCTCAGTAAATTGATAGTTTTGCATCCATCACCAAATACCCAGTTTTAGGACATTTTCATCATCCCCCAAAGTTCCTGGTGCCTGTTTGCAGTTTTTCCATCATGCATGTTTTGCATTAACATGAAAGGTTTGGAAGTTCACCCCCATTGCAACATGTACTAGTGAGCAGTCCATCCCTTCTTATTGCTGAGTAGTAAACCACCAAACAAGTAACTGTAACGCCTTTAAAAACTCAGGCCACCAGCACGTGGCCATTACGGTTGCTCCTGTTTGGGGGTACGATGTACTACGCTGCCGTGAGCACGCACCCTCAGTGCTCCTTCGGGATGCTCGTTTTCATTGTTCTTGCACGAGGGTTGCCACACTTAGCAAGTTAAAACGCAGGACTCCGGTTCAATTTGAATTTCTGATAAAAATTTTCTTTGTCTATTTCACGTAATACTTGAGACACACTAAAAAATTACTTATCTGAAATCTAAACCAGGCATCCCGTGTCGTACCTGGCCACCCCACTGTGTGTAGATGTGTAGAAATGGGATTTCTGGGCCACATGGTAGGTTTACATGTAAGAAACTGCCCATCTGTTTCCCGAAGGGACACGCACACACCCCAGCAACACATGAAGACTGCAGTTTTTTTCTCATCCTTGCCAACACTTGTTTTTTACTGTGGCCATTCTAGTGGATACACAGTGACTTTTCATTGTGGTGCTAATTTCACCAATCGTCTTTAAGAAACTGTGTTTATTGGCCATTGGTGTCTTTTTGAAACGAAGGTCTATTAAGTCTTTTGGCCATTGTTGAACTGGATTGCTCGTCTTAGGGGGTGCTTTGTGCGCTCTGGCTAGTCCTTTATCAGACGTGTGATATGTGAATTGTCTCTAGCTCATCTCTGAACACTTTTAAAGCCCAGATTGTAATTTTGATGAAGTCCAACTTAGCACATTTTTAAATGGATTTTGCTTTCAGTGTCACACTGAAGCCTTTGCCTAACCCAAGGTCATGAAGACACCCCCACGCACCCCCCCTCCTTTTTTGGCCACATTCTTCTTTCACTTTTTGCCTTCAGTTTTGAAAGCTAGCTGTATCCAAACCTTGCCATGCTCCCACCCCAGCCTCGGAAGCTCCCTGAAGGTGCAGGAATAGCCCTTTCAGCACCCAGTCTCTTCACCGGTCTTGAGCCAGAGACCCCAAGCAGACTTTAGGGTTAGATGCAGGAACCTCGGATGCGCTGGGGCCCCCTGGGGAGGCAGGAAACCCACTCCAGAACTCGCAGGCCCAAAGTCTGAGTCTCAGCCCCAGGGTGCTCAGCCTCTCCAAGCTGCAGGAGCTTCCGGCATGCTCTTGTGGGACCATCAGTTGGAAAAGGAAGGAAAGATCTGAATTTGGCCCAGAAACATCTGCTATGAACGCACCCAGGCACCCTCCCCGTTTGGGAACCAGAGAAGCATACCCGCAGGTCATCCACAGTGTATTTTACCCGTAGTGCTTGTAACTGCTCTAGCCCGTTTCAGATCTAGGTAGGTCGGCTACAGATGGAGAACACCTGGACTGTTCAGGTCCCCGCCCCCACCCGCCCTGCCCCCCGCCCCCACTGTGAGAAAAGAGAGAGGTTTGATCTCACTATCCTCGAGGCAGAGGTGAACACTAAGTAAGACGGACGCTGGGGCTCTGCCAGCTGCCACCGGTCTCCCAAGCTACACGGCCTCCCAAACTGGAATTCCCAGGGGCATGTGCTGAGCTCCACCTTCCCAGTGAAAGCTCACAGCTAGAAAGAAGGGCCATCTAGGGAGAAGAGGCCACCCTTGAGCCTCCCGTGCAAACCCTGCCCTTTCTGGCCTCACCCTCTACCAAACCCACACCCAGGTCACCTTCAGGCATTTCCTGAAGGAAGGGCTGCCAGGCTCCTCTCGGTCTCGGGTATCCTGGAACAATCCTTAGGACACCTCCCAACTGGTCAACATCCATCCTAGTTGCAAAAATCAGGTGAGATACGCAAATAAAAGCCCTTGGCCAAAACTCAAATGCTAGGGTAGTGCAGTTAACCCCAAACTCATCAAGAGCCCATCTAGTCCAGCTGGTGAGTCCAGCAGCCACCTGAGTCCTCGGGGGTCTCAGGAGTGCCCAGCAGCCATTCTGACTTCACTTCAGCGTCGATGTCATAACCTCTCCCTCGTGCTTTTCCCTTTTAAGGCATCTCACATTACCAGGCAGTCTGTCAGCTCACACCTCCCTTTAAACGCAGGCCTCCCTGCACACCATCTATTCCAATGCTAAGATCCCAGGTGTTTAAGAGCTGCTTCCCACAACACGTGCACATTTTATCACTGATTCACACCAGTGCTCCCTTTTATCTCCTACTTTCATCTTCCTTCCATTGTTTTCTTTGGAGAGAAACATCAATGTGAGAGAGAAACATTGATCAGTTGCCTCTTGCACGCACCCTGACTGGGGACCAAATCTGCAACCCAGGCGTGTGCCCTGACTGGGAATCGAACGGGCGACCTTTCTCCTCGTGGGAAGACGCCCAGCCCACGGAGCCACACCAGTCAGGGCTATAACAACTACATTCCATAAAAGCATGGCCCACTCTGATATATACATTTTATTTTAAATGATGCCACTAGCACTGGGAGGAAAAAGTAATTTATTTGCATTGCTTTCATTTTTCTACTGTAGTGTTAGGACTTGACATAAGTATCACTCTTCTACTTCCTATTTACAGTTCATTCAGAATATGACCACAAACACAATATACATATTTTAAAAACTTATGGGGACTGCAGTTTTTGCTTCTCTCTCCTCTTTACAGGTTTTTCAAAATCATTCAACTTAAAGGAAAATTTATATGGACATTTTCTGTACACATCTAAAAAGGCAGAGATTACACAGATAAAGCCAGAAGGATTTTGCACAGATACAACACAACACAGAGAACAAAGCACAGATGATGTTACCTGGGGTGCACATATAAACAGTACAGTACCGTTTGAGGGATGGGGCAACATAATACTCATACTTTACAGAAATAAAACGGCAAACCCGGAGAATGCTCTGACAAATATTAAACATATATATACAGTGAGGTAAATGTACCTTGGTCTCTTGAGAGGTAATTTAAGTTTAAAGCAATTGATATTCTGAAGCATCTCCTCGACATATGGAGAAAGGTCAAACGCCCCGCCCCACTGGCACGTGTGAAAGAGGGGTACCAAACGTGGTTCGCGGCATCCATCTGCCAATCTTGTTAGAGAGTAAGAACAAATTCACTGAAGTTCTTGTTAAGCTTTAAAGAAACAGGTTGAATGTTACAAACCACCTTTTCAAAGTTTACAATTACAAGTACAATTGCATCACGGGACTGGAAAGTTTAATGTGGTGACAGCCCTCAGAGAGTCCCAGAAGCCAGCCGTCCCAGGCAGATGGCCCACGAGTGTCCCAGCGTCCTGAGCCAGACACAAGGAGCCGCAGTGTGTGTCCAGGGCGACTCCCAAGGATCTCAAAACTTTGAGAACTGACATTTTTTGCCAAGTGGTAACAGAACCATAATTTGGAATCTCCAGCATCTTGGAGCCAATTCACCGCCACAGCCAAGAAACCAAAACCCAGCCACTTGCCACCGCTCTTTCAGTGCAAGGACACAAGTCAACTTTTGATAGGACATGCCTGATGGGATACCGATTTTGTTGTGCATTTTAATGAGCACTTTGCCATCTTATCTTGCAGAATATTCTACCTGTGACCGTTCTCAGGTATAGAGAAAAAATGGTAATTCATGCATAAACTGCAAAATGGCCACGTGACCACTCAGTTTGTAATAAGAACTGGCGTTTGGAATTCTTGACAGCCATGGCACGTACACCGACTCAAGGCACTTCTCGAGCACTACCACTACAGCAGAATTTTAGGCTCGGCTCTTTGGGCCTTACCCTGTCCTAGAGGGGGTACAGCTGGCTGCTGCCGCCGGCACACCTCCCACGCCACAGCTGCCAGGGGTCGGCCAAGGCTGAAGCTGATGAAGGGCAGCCAGTGGGGCCATCATCTGCCCAGTCTCTGAATGGGGAGACCCCTCCCGACAACATTCAATGAATCAAGGAAATGAAAGGATGTCCCACAACTTCCAACGACCATTTTGCTCCAGATATCAAAGGCGGCCCTTCAGTCAAAAGACTGCTGGGGAAAGGGTGCTGGAGAGAGGGGACGCTCGTCCAGGCCATGGTCTCCGAGCCAGGGGTCGGCAGGAAGGCAGGGCAGGGGAGACAGGGCGGAAGTCAGTAAAGAAGGACCAGGGGTGTCCGTGCCCCACTAGGCCAGACCGCCCCCGCCCCCACCCCGGTGTGCTGACAGAAAGGACGTGGACAGGTCATTTGCCTCAAGGTCTATTTCAGCCAAGTTGGATCTTGGAAGGTGAGCATCTGAAGACAGGCAGTATAAAAAAAGCCTGAGTTTCTGAGTTTCCAAATGACAAAATGAATGCTCTAGTCAAATTTACCTGTGGTTGATCTGCTTCATCTTTTAAGTCACTTTCATTTTCAGTATTAGCCGATTGAGTTTTATCAAACCATCGTTTGCCAAAAAAGGAGTTAGCTGCAGTAATATGTAAACCCAATTTAGAATTAAATACCAACTTTAAAAAATTCCCTGATTCATTAAAAGTGCATTTTATTCACTTAGGAAAAGTACAACTGTAACTCAATCTTTGATTTAATAAAGAACAGCTTCAGCAAAAGTTGATTACCTTGTATGAAACTGAGAAATCATGTATCACAACTTTAAATCAGACAAGAACTTTTGGTATGTTCTTAATAAAATTATATAAAAATAGTTTTAGTGATAAAACGCATTGGTCCCCTGGATTTCATAAAGAAGATCTTGTAGACTTAGAAATGGCAAAGAAAAAAAAAGAGTGCCTAATCACAGAGCTAGAAATTATGAAACAGGAAATGTAACACAATGATAAAAACAAACCTCTCAAACTCATATATTTGCTTTGATGAAATCACAGTAATACAGGAAAAAACCTCAAATTTGGAGTCAAAATATTAACCTCTAAGCACATTTTCCCCATGATGTTTTAAAGACATGAAATCGACACTAAATTCCTATGTAATACTATTCTTTCTAAAATTACTTTGGTTTTAAGACCAAATAGTCTTTCAAATTTATTCTATGAATAAGAGACAAGACATTTCGGAACGCAGCTCAGCCGGTGTGAACGGCCGCTCTCTCCTCCGACCTAAGTGCTGGAAAGGCCGTTGCGCCCCTCGCACCGGGCGCTGGCGGCCCCGTGATGTCAGCGACTCGCCTCACAGCCAAGACAGTTCGCCCCCTCAGAGTAAGATCACAGTGATAAAGAAAACTTCGAAAATTGTACAAGTCCTGCAAAGAGTTTTAGCACTGGAAGTAAAAGCCAGTTACCATAAGCTATTTTCCACTTAATGTGAGAAGACCATAACCAGTTTATTGGAAACGTTTAATCTGCCCAGAAAACATCTGTAAATGGAGAACCTATATGCAGGATATGCTTTAGCTACCATTCTCCCGAATATCAAGAGTGTACTGAATCTGTTACATAGCCTTGTAAATTAAGCAGTTAAAATACCTGCACACAGAAGGAAAGACGGAATTAAAAGCTGCCTTCCTCAAAATGTAGTGAGACCTCAAAACCACACTGAATCTAACCCTAGTTCCAAAGACCGAAAATGCACCGAACAAGGACCCCCACGTGACACACGCGACTCTCCTGCATACCTGCTTTCTACTCCAATTATTGACTACCTTCACCCTCCTAGAAAAAGGCCTATCATTTAACATTACCCATACTCTAACTTTAAACATAATTCATCTCTTAAAAAAATAACACTGTCTTTGATCAGATAAAGAACAAAATGGCTTACAGAATGCCACACAACTTTTCACAAGCAGCTAGACAAATTCTCCCTTTTAGAAAAATTAGTCTGTATGCTACAAACTTTAAAGTACTAGAAGCGTCTAGAGTGCCACTTGATGTTTTTTAAAGCACACTTAGACAACACCACTAAAAACTTGATGCGAGACTATTCAAACGTGACCGTGATAACAACTCACCAATTAATGCCACTTCATCTCTTTAGTGGTTTAAGCACATTCTGGTAGGAGAAAGGCATTTTCAAAATGGAACACCAAATGACATACCACAAAACCTCTTCCAAAAAAACAGAACAGAAAAGGTCTATGTACCAGATAAATAAACGTTTTGAATTGAAACACTACAGGTTTTAACAAGCACAGGCTTTAAGCAATTCTACTTGTTTCCATTAGAAAGACACAGAAGTGGCACTTACTGGTATAGTACAATCCCATTTTAAAGGCATGTAATGTTCTGAATATGTGAAAGAACAATAATAGTATACAAAACACAATTGCATAAATTATGTTCCTCACTACTATATGAGGTCATTTTTAGACTCAAGATAAGAGTTTTTTAAGTGTTAGTTTTAAGATCCTGAAATTTATAGAACCGTACATTCAAAGTCTGAATCAAAGAAACTCTTTAGTGGTTCAGAATCCTCTGAGAATGTACTAACCAGGAGGAAATCACTTTCTTTAAAAACAAGAAATGCTTCGTATAACTCGGCAATCCAGCTCCTTGACCCTTAAGATGATCTTCAGCACAGCAGAGTCACTAAAGTTAAGACCAGCAATCATCTTTAAAGAAAGGCTTGTGTTAATAAAAAATAAAGGTAGACTACACAACACTCCGTGACTGTCCCGGGAAAGCGGAGTTCATAGTGCACAGAGAGGACCCACGGGGCTGGTTCCTGGGTCCACAGCAATCCTGGGAAGTTCTAAATCGACCTTATCGAAAGGAAGCGACATCCCTCTATTCCCTCTCAGTGAGGTAGAACAAGTGACCTCCCCAATTAGAGCCCAGGAGCGGATCTGAAGAAGAGCAGAGTTCGGGCAAAGCCGCAGAGTTACATTTTGATGCCTTCCTGTTGACTGAGTTGTGACAAAGTTTTCTTGATCCGCAGAGCTGTGAGCCGAGCTGCTCCGTTGGCGTACCAACATTCTCTCATAATTTTGGCCATTACTCTCAAGGCCTGCAAGGAAATACAAAAAGATAAAAAACTGTAATTAATGCATGCACCACTTTCCACTGATCTGAATAAGAACGTTTACCCGAAAGGTTTCTTTCTATATGACATGTACGCAAGTCTTCGGTTTGTTTGTTTGAGCACTGTCTGTAATACCACGAGACTAGAAATAACCGAAACCCCCATCAATAAAGCATTGGTGCCCACAGCTAGAAAGCAGACAGGCACAGTGACTTACTCAGCAGACCTGAAAAACCCAAATCCTCCACCAGAGCTGTGCAGGGAAAGAAGGAACTTGACTCACACTGAAACACCACCTTACCCTGAGGAATTAACGGTGTCAAGTACCTCTAGAGTGAAGTGTAGGTGAAAAACAGAAGCATCAGCCAAAAGAATCAGAACCCCAGATCCCTGCCCCTCCCCTGGCCCAGCAATAAGCTGGAGGTTTGCACCTGAGAGGGTGCAACAGGAATTCCTAACTTGGGGAACACGAAGGAGGAAATCCCGTACTGACAGCACGCTGAATGCTAAGGCCGGAGGCTTTCTCCACAAAACACAAGCAGCAGCACACACGCCCTCCTCCAGGCAAGAGCCTGGCAGAGTCAAGACCTGGAGGGACCGACATCAGCGGTTCCCCCAGGAAGCGGCCCTGCCAGACCACCTCCCAGACCAGTGGGAAAGCTCCGCTCATCTGCGTGAAGCTTCCTGTGAGCTCTCAGGGCCCTGTTTTCAAACAGAGAGTGCGAGTTTGGTCAGGCATTTGTGAAAAGTACATAAAATGAGAAGCTGACAGAAACAGACAAAAAGCAACTTGGAGAAAATGGAAGCTGTACACAGAGAAAAAATATCATTGATAGTCTCAAAGAGATCAAAGACAATGTGGCAATAGCTTTTTCTTCCTTTCTTGACCTCAAAAAAACTTGACAGAAGTGGGAGATAAACCTGATTTTAAAAAGCTGATAAGCCTCTCAGAAAGTGGAGAAAAAAAAACCAAAGAAATGGATAACAGGAGGGAAAACATAAGCAAATTGGGAGGAGGTCTAACGTTGATAATCAGAATTGGAAAAACAGAGGAAAATGAGAGAGAACAAACCAAAGAAATATTTCAGAAACATTTTCTAGAAGTGAACATTTGTTTCCAGATTAAAAAGGACAAAATGCCCATCGCAGGCATATATTCATTCAACAAATATTCACTGAGTGCCTAACACGTATCAGATACCATCCTGGGTGCTGGGGATACGGCAGTGGACAGACAGACAAAATCCCTGCCCTCAAAAAGCTTCCATTCTAGAGCAGCGGTCCCCAACCTTTTTGGCACCAGGGACCATTTCGTGGAAGACAGTTTTTCCACAGATTGGGGGGTGGGGGATGGAAGCAGGAGGCGGAGCGCAGGCGGTAATGTGAGCGAAGCTTCTGAAGCTTCACTGGACCACCCACCATCCTGCTGTGTGGCCCAGTTCCTAACAGGCCACAGGCTGCTAGTGGCCTGTGACCCGAGGGGGTGGAGACCCCTGTTCTAGAGGACTAAAGCATAAAATTAATGAGAAAGCAACTCACACAGGCTATCAGCGGTAAGCGCCAATGAGAAATGTCATTTAGGGAAGGAGAGAAAATGAGCCAGGCAAGAGGATGGTATTTTAAATAGACGGAGAGGTAACGTCTCACTGACCAGGTAACATCTGGGCAGAGGCTGAAGGAGGGGAGGAGGGATTAGCAAACCAAGAAGCGGGCAGACGTGAGACCCTGGAAGGACTCACCACAAGAGGCAAAGGGAGCCCAGGATGGAAGGGGAGAGGTATCGTCCCCAGAGGAAGGCTGCCCTGCTGGCTAGACTAGAGGAGGTCGGGGGTTCTGTGAGGCACTTCTTTAGTCAGTTTCATGTTCCTTTTTCAAAGGCTGTGGAGGTCTCAACTATGGAGGGGAGAGTTATAAAACCCTAGAACAGTGAGAAACTGAATCAGTGATGAGTGCATGGAAAACTAACAAAATGGAGAGAAACCAAAACGACAGCGAAGGCATTGATTCGGAATAATGTGATCGTGACTGCAAGTGGCATGTGTGGTCTCAGTGTTAACTCCTGACTTTTCCTCACGCTTAAAAATCCATCTGTTCAAGCACAACCTGCTCTAATTATTGAGTGCGTAAATACTCAAGTTTGTACTCTGCAGTATTGAGATCAAATTTTTAAAAGGCAAAAATATAGCCCATCTTCATTTGTTAAATGTGATTTTGTTGGCGGGAGCTGAAGAGCTCTCTGGATGTCAAAGGTTCTACTGAGTCCTACATTATCTTGTTCTATTTTATTATTTTATTTTAATTTTATTTTTTTTATCTTCACCCAAGGACATTTTTTCATTGCTTCTAGAGAGATAGGAAAACACTGAGACAGAAGCATCGACCGGTGGCCTCAGGCATATGCCTGGACCAGGGATCACACATGACCCAACCCAGGACTGTACTCGCCCAGACTGAGGTGGAGGCGGGTGCAGACCCGAATCTGTAACCTAGGTATGTGCCCTGATTGGGAATTGAACCCTCAGCCTTTTGGTTGCAGGGCAACGCTCCAACCACTGAACCACATTGGCCAGGGCTGAGTCCTACATTATTTTAAGATATAAAATCAACTACTTAGTGGCTAGCTTTTTATTCCCCCTAAAGTACAAAACTTCAAATCTGGAGGGTAATGCTCTGCCTCACCATTATTATAATTAGTGACAGCTGGCAAGTAAAGACAGACTACATAAAATTTGTCTAACGAATTCTTTAAATTTATGACCACAAAAATATTTCTAAAACCTTTTGCAAGAGCTGAGGTTGAGAAGCTCAGACACTGCTGGGAAGCATTTCCCCCAAATTCCTGGTGAGTGATCACACAGGCAGGCAGAGGAGTGAGAGACAAAACTATCTGAACCATCTTCATCGTCATCTCACCCAAGCTCCTCCTTTCACAGAAAGTCCTGTCAGAGAGCTGAAGTGATTTACCCGGATGTCACTCTGAGGCAGTGCCCAGGCTCCGTCTAGAGCACGGGGCTCCCGGTTGCCGTCAGCACTCAATCCCGCCCATCAGGGCTGCCCCGACGGAAGGGGGGCGCTCGCTCACAGTGCAGGTGCCCTGGCGACAGGCAGACCTACGCACTGTTCTGAGGGCCGCTGCCAATACTACTCCATGGCCCTTTCAATGTGCTTACACATGCACATGAAAAACAACTTGTTCTGCTTTTTTTCTCACTGGTTTAATTGCTATGAAAAAGAAAGAAAAGGGAATTCTTGTGTCTGTTATTCTTAAGGAAAAGTAGCAAATTTCCACTTCCTAAGCAGAAGCAGCATAGAAAAGCTGCACAGTATCTAAAAGAAATACTCACTTCACAGCTCTGCCATCTGTTTGGAATATTTGGCCTCAACTTCTGTTCACAAACAACCTTCCTCATTTCTTCAACTGATGGATCGGAGGGTACAAGATCATAATAAGGCAGCTGGTAATCTTCATGAATTCCTATATTGGTTCAAAAAAAAAAGAAAGAGAAAATCAATTTTAAAAAATTTACTCAGATAATGCCAGACCATTCTTTGAACGGACAAGAAAGACACACCAAGCGTCTTATTACAGGGCCCCATTACTAAGCCAGGTACGTGGAACGGAGCCCGCAGCTTGCTCTGTCTCATCCACACCTGTATCAACAAAACACCTCGCTGACCGGCGCTGGGCCCACACCTCAAAGGTAAATATTACTGTGGGATCACAAGGGCAGTTTTAATGATTGTGAACCAGGAGCTGTGAGGACTGGATCGACATTTTCCCAGAACTCTGATGTGCACGAAATGAGTTTCTATTCTGCCGGTGCACAGCCCCTCACTTGGTACGGGGATACACCCTCTGTCACCGAGGGGTGAATCCTACAGGACAAGCCTGAGGCGCAAACACCTTCCTCTACCTGCCTCTGTCAACAACCTGTCCTCTTCGCTACAATATAGACACACCCTGCCCCTTACAGCCTCAAAAACCTGATGAGGCCCTCAGTCTTGGCCCAGCGTGGGCCCCCAACACATAAGAGCCTTTCTCAAGGAAACATCCAAAGCGCTCAATCTGAAACTAAATTTAAAAGTTAAAACAAACTTACTTTAAAAAGTAATGTAATGGCTGTGTGACTGTACTGCATCCTGTATTAAATACAGGATGTATTAAATAATCTCCAAGTTTGGAGAAAATAACCACTGTCTCAGGGGTTGGGGGTTGTTCTCAGGGGTTGGGGGGCAGGGGGAACCAGTTTGACCCAGGTCCACATTCAAAACAGCTTCCTGGGTGGCCACAGAAGCAGTCACCCATTCTAAACGACTAAGTTGTTTCATAGACGGTTAGTTTCTGATGTTTTCCAAGATCCCAGTGGAAACGGAACAAGAGTACATCAGGGTGAGGCTGCGCACTAGGATAATGCGTGTCGCCGTTTTCCCTCACTGCGGGTTCCAGCTCCTTCACTGCCCTTGGCGCTCCTCCGGTCGCCTGGAGAGCGTCACTTCAGTCTGCTGCCGTGTGTAACCCCCTTCCACAAGAGGGACGGCAACTCTGTCTAACAACTCTGTGCAGGATAAACTGTTGAGGAAAGGGGGGGATTTACCACCAATGGAACATCTTCGGGCTATTTCCCAGAACACTAAGCCCATTGCATAGATGTCGGCGCGCTTGAAGGATTCAAAGTGTTTCATATTTATGGAATCATCTAGAACTTCGGGGGCCATGTACCTAAAAAAAAAAAAAGCCAGCACTTTATTTTACTGAATGGTGGCCATGTGACTACTGAACTCTTTTACCCCTTGGGAAATAAAAATAAAAAATCAACATTAAGACTTTTGTCCACTTTCAGCACGGTTCTTTTTCTGTTTTTCATGGCTCACACCTCTTATAGGAACATTCCTGAAGTACATGAAGTGCAAAGTGAAAACCACTCCGTCACTAGCACACTCAGCACTGGAGAACACGCCTCCAGGCACCTCTCTGTCCCACAGATGCAGCGCCACATAACCGAGATCATCCCAACACCGGCCAGACCCTCCCTGCTATCTGCCTTATGATCTCAGTCTCCTCTGAAAGCCACAGGTGACAGTTCTGACTGTCAAATTTCCTAACGTTCACCACCTCCTTCGTCACGTACTCTGCAGGGACTCTCTATTTCTAGAAGTCTCCTCACTAGAACAGAATGGAAGATAGGGCAGGGGCAAATTTCAGGTAAGAAAATAACAGATTAAAATGAATGCCAGTCCTCCTATTGATGCCACACTGTGGAGCCCGCAAGTTTTAAAAACCCTACTAAGGTTACAGATCTGGACCCACAAAGACCTGCAGGGGGGACGAGTTGTGGGGGTGGGGAGGGGGCAGACCCTGCACAACCCCTGTCCTGGAACCCAGAGCTGAGAGTTCTGAGTCCCTGCTGAGTCCAGAAACCCTGAATATGACTTAGGCAGAACAAAGCTTGGCTCCATCCAAGGCCAAAGCAGTGGTCTGAAAATATGTTCTGGCAACATGCTGTGATATAGGGCAAGCTTATGTTCACAGGTTCAAATCTCACCTCTTCAGCTTACTATCCATCCATAAGAGAGGTTGGCCACATTACAAAACCTCCATGAGGTGCATGCCCCTGTGAATTGAATAATCACACCTACCTAGTTAGATTCTTTTGAGGACTATGGGCTCAACAAATATTTACTGAGGACCTACTATGTATTAGGCACTGTGATAGATGCTGGAAATATAGACTGCTTTCAAGCAGCCTGAAATCCAATGGAATATACAAATAAATGGACAGTTACACCATAACATGTAAAGTGTTTCAATGGTCCAAGTTCAGTGTGCTATGAGAGCTCTTGGCAAGAATACCTAACAGGCCAGAAAAGCCTTCCTTGGACAAAGAAAGGGGGCATACAAGTTAGGGAAACAGCAGCGGAAAGCTGGCTTTGGGGCACAGCACATGCAAAAGTTCTAAGGAAGAAAGGCAGATTTTCAGGAACTGAAAATAGTTGGACTAGCTACCATATAGCACGTGAGTTGGGCATTAAATGAGATAATGTATTAAAAGACTCAAAATGATTGGCACATAGTAGGTACCCCATAAACATTAGCTCCAATTGCTGCTGTAATTAACATAACAATGGTATTATCTTCTGGAAGGACCACCTTTCATCAGCAGGCATCTTTTCAAGTCAGGTAACCTTGGTTTCAGGGCAGGCAAAACCTTAAGATCTTCTTTCTACCTGTGGTTAATCTAACAAAAATCTGAGTTTCAGAGGCGATATTTATGTGCAGATGAGAAGGAAAAGAAACTGCTTTTGGAACACACTAACTACTACTTATTCGCATGTACCTTTTTGTTCCCACTCTGTGGTTTGGGGCGATATCAATTGTGTCTGTGGCGGAATCATGCCTCACTGCCAGCCCCAAGTCTGCGATACAGCAAGTTCCGTTCTTTTTCACCAAGATGTTCTTTGATTTCAAATCTCTGTGAGCAATGGCGGGTTTTCCTAAAAACAAACAAATAAACAAACATAACTGCTTTTTAAAAAGGTAATACCAATCACAATTCTTTCCTTTAAATTCAAGTCCCTTCTCCTGGCCTAGCGTCCAAGCTTTTCAGCCCACACCACCCACAGTTCGGGGGCCACTACTTCACAACCTCAAGTGAATCGAGCCATAAGTGGACAATCACTAGAGCAGAGAGATATGTTGGTATCTGAGATCCTACACGGCACAAAAATCACAGCATAAAAAATTCATAACTAAAACTGAATATTTAATTTTTCAACTATAAAAGGCTCTCGTGCAGTCTCCTTATCTCAAAGTCAAATGTAATTCTGTTAGATAGTCAGATAACATTTATACAGCCTGCTGATGTTTACAAAGCATCTTCACATGTCATTTGACACTACATATAAAAAAAATACAGTCTCTCTGACTTGAATTCTAAAATCAAGACCCTCAAAAATCACAAGTAGGGAACTGAACTCACAAAAACACCAGTGCTGTTACAATGACCACAGGATCTCTCAAAAAAAACAAAACAAAACAAAAACCGCCCTGATTCCTAACTCCATCTGAGATGTTCAACAGAAAGATAACACCTCCAGTTAGGCTGACTTCTTTCAAAACTTTCCTGAACAGACACTAGATCCATGGGATTCCGAAGCTTAAATAACAGGACTGCTTCATGTTACCTTGGGTACCGACAATCTCCATATGAAGATGAGCAAGTCCACTTGCTGTGGACAGAGCGAGTTTTATCATTCCTTCCACAGTAACCGTGTATCTGTTCAAATAATCGAAAAGGGATCCATGCTCATGATAATCAGACACCAACCAGAGCTGAGTCCACGTACCATTGTCTGCAAAGGACAGCAACAACATTTCAGGTGGGCTGTAGAACATTTACAATTTCCTGGTTCAAAAGTTGTCACTTTACTCTCTGTCCCAAATCCCACAAATGCAATATGATGGCACCTTAAGTCTGCATATCTTTCCTTCATATTTTCCTGTATATTTTCAGTTTGTCTTCTACTTTTATGAATGTATCCTTTAGGTCCTCAGAGTGAGCCCCCTATTCTGGAGATAAGGCAGGATGACTAATCTCATTTGAGAGACAGGGAATCATAGTTCGAAGACAGTAACCTCAAGTCTATACAGACAGCGGCAGAGCCAGAAACTCTTTAATGCCTAGAAAGATGGCTGGTCCGGGTTAGGTGCTCAGCAGCTGTTTCTGGAAGGATAGAGGGAAACGATGAAGGAGGGAGGCAGGAGAAGGAGAAGTGTCAGGATCCCAGTGTGGCCACAGCAGGGATGGAGTGCGATGGAACAAAACTCAAGGTGAATTAGATGAAGAAGTGCAAGCTTTAATGACAGACTCTATGTATAATTCACAAAGAAGCCAGGCTCCAAGGTTTCCAGCTCAGAGAAACATAAAAAGAGCAGTATCACTAACACAGGGGAAGCTGAGACAGGAACTAAAATGTCAGGAGGAGAAAAAGCACGACTGAACCCAGTGTTACACATATAAGGTGATTCTGATCCTCAAGAACTAAGAATGCATGTGTCAAAAGTTCACTTGTAAGCTGATACATGAGTTTGCAATGTGTTTTCCCATGAGAATTAAGGTAAAGGTTCTGGCCAGGCTCGTGTACAAAAGCCTATTTATCCTAGAAGTAGCTGGAAATATTAAGGAAAACCATATGTTTCATGGAATTGTGGGGGGAAAAAGTATCACAATCCTAGGGGGCAGCACAACTCAGTAAAAGGGAGCAACCTGAGGTCACGAGGTCATGCTGACCTGAGCTGAAACCCAGGGGCTGTTCCTGACTAGGCGACCTCAGACAAGTCTCTTAACCAGTGAGCCTCTGCCTCCGGTTTACACAACAAGAAGACCTTACTTTGCAAGACCACTACGCAGATTTAAAAAAGAGGGTAACAGGTTTCTTTAAAACACGTAGTAAAATGCCTGGAACATTAGGACTTAAAATGCACTGCTTCTTTTCTCATGAGTTATAAAACAAAAGAAAAAACCCAAGTTGACATAAAACAGCATCCATATTCTAAAGGTTGTTGTTAACTTCGGGAAAGCAACCCTGGTTAGAAGAGATTAAGGAAGGTGTTTTCAGAAGATTCTGGAGGGGATTTCTGAGTCCTTTCAAAAGGATTTAGAGATTCATGATACAAGTTATTTATAGACTTGTTCTTCATCTTTTCTTTTTCCTTGTACAGAAACACCACTAGCTTTATCTGCATGCTCGTTAACTATGATTGAATTCTGAAAGGCTCACAAATACAAAAAAAATTAAACAGGACCACAGGCGGATGGAAGAAAGAAAGGTTTTTATGAGGTAATTGACAAGAAAGGCAGAAGGAAGAAGGGCATGTAGGAGGCTGTGCATATATAAAGGGCTGTCTGTGTAGAATTAACTCAATCAGGAGGACAAAGATACTCAATCAGGAGGAGAAGGGAACTGGGACGGAGGAGCTAGAGAAGAGCCAGCAAGGTCAGCTAGTTCCCATGGTGGCCACCAGAGGGCAGCACCAGCTTGGTTGCTGCAGGAGCAAATGCAGGGAGAAAAGCTCAGGGCAGTGTTTGTGACCTGGAACACTCATCAAACATGCTGGGCCTGGGTGAGATTTGAGCCTCAAAAGGCAGATTTGAGTGTCACCACTACAACAGAGTGTGAAGCCACTAAATTGGGTAAGTTCTTTAAAGGATCAATTACTACTTGTAGAATTAAATCCTTCATAGAAATTAGTAAGAAGAGTTTCAAAAAAACAAAGACAACTATTAAGAAATAAATAAAGCCTAGAGTCACAGAACATAATAAAGGTTGTTGTACAAACTGAGGAAGCTAAACGGTGTCCAAGACAGAAGAAAAGGAAAACTCAGGACTTGGTCAGACTAGGGTCCCTGGTTTTGTTTTAAGTATTGTTTTTAAATTAAGTAACATTGAACTGGTAGTAGCAGCCACTGATGATCACTGCCTACATCCGTCACTGACTCTAGGTCACAAAAAAGAGGTAATCCAACATTACATGTCTCCTGACCTGATACAACAGGAAACATACAATAGATAGGAAATATTTTCAGGAAACCAATAAAACGTAATCAGATTCAGTCTCTAATTCTGACTACCAGTTTTCAAATAATACAAAGAACAAGTTCAGAGATACTACAGGCCTTCAATTAGTACAATTCAGAATGTGGCAAGCCCTGTCGAACAAACAATCCAGTTTCTCCAACAAATAAACTGCAACAAGAAAAAGCCTGGAGATTTTAAGGGACTTAAGATAAATACCAACCAAATGCAATGTGTGGACTTTGTATCCTAAAATAAGTAGCCAATTGTTTAAAAAAAAATAGGAGACAACTGCAGAAATTTGAAACTGAATAGATATTTGATGACATTTTAAAAAATGATAATGGTGACATGGTTGTTTCATAAAAAGATCTTTCATAATCTAGAGATACAAACTGAGAATGTTTATGGATGAAAAGATACAGTATCTAGGATTGGCTTCAAATAATTGAGTTAGGGGCAGCACAGGTGAAATCAGAGATCATATGATTGGTAGTGAGCTAATAATTATTGAAGGCAAGTGCTGAAAGTTCCTTATATTACTTTCTATATATTGAAAAATTTCCCTAAATAAAAGTTAGAAAAATAAACAATAAATGCCTGTTGCAAATATATTTGAAGATACAGAGAAGCAAAAAGAAAAATTATAAAATCATTCATAGTTACCCACTGAGATTAAACACTGTTAACAGTGTGAAACAATTAAGTCTGGTGAGGAAAATGGGAAGGGACAGAAGGAAAAGGATGACTGGTTCTGGCCAATCTCAAAGACAATGACAGCATTTTTAACAAAACAGGAAATTGGGAAACATCTGACTCAGGGTGGGATGACAAGAGTTGAGTTGCGACAGAAGTCTCTGACAGAGGCTATAAAAGCAGGAACTGTGACGAAAGGTAGTGACTGGGGCCCAGAAAGCGGGTGAAGTCCAGTGTGCGGCCACTGCTCGCAGTTACCACTCGTCCTGACTCCCCGCGGCCGCGGCTGCCTGGCTTCCTCGGCACCGGTCTGACCTGGACCTTCTGTGCCTGTGGGGCCCCAAGCCCCTGAGCAACGAGCAAGGACGGGTCAAGGTGGTTTTGGAGAAACATTTCTCTATTTAACTGAGGTTACTTAAAAGATTAATCTGTTTAGCCCCTGGCAACTTAAAACACAGAATACCTGGAGAAGCTGTTTTCACTCTCCCTGTGGACAAGATCATTAGCAGATGTCAGAATGCCCTGACGGGCAGGAAGAGATGAAATGGAAACACACATTTGGGCTCTATCTTACCTCAAAATTTTGGCAACCTGACTTTATAATTTTTTCTGTTTTATGACTGTACTTAATAATTAACTATCCAGAAGCAAAATAGCAAAAGCACGTGGCTTTTTAAACAAATTGCTCTTTACACTTTATAAAACAATTAGAGATTTAGGAACATGTTATTAAGATTCAAGAAAATCTTTAAGAAGTTTCCTGGTTCTAAAGGCTTCTAATATATTCCATTTGACCTAGTAGGTCTAACCTGTATCACACACATCTATTTTGCTCATTAAATGTGACAATGCTTAGTAGCCGTATCTCTAAACAGGCTTAATTAAGGAGATTTTGTTACATGCAGAGGAGAAGGAAACATTACTGACCTTTATTGTCTGCTGCTATGAATCCCAAGATGTTTTCATGACGTAACATTACGGTCTGATAAATCTCTGCCTCTCGGAACCAGGAACGTTCTTCTCTAGAGGAGAATATTTTAACAGCGACTTCCTCTCCTCTCCATTTTCCTCGCCAAACTTCCCCAAATCGGCCTTTGCCAATACTCTCTTGTAATACAATAGTTCTGGCGATTGTTCTCTGAACAAGCAACGGTAAACCTGAAGATAAAAATAAACAGTATTCAACACAAAAAGAAAAATCAACAACAGTGTGGGTTTCCAACACCAGGACAGGAAAGGAGCGTTTAACTCTTTTAAGCTCCACTTTTACGGAATTTATAACCTCAGTAAGATAAAGACCGCATTTGCAAAAGAAGTAACTCACGATTAAAAGGCAAATAATAAGTACCATGGACGAATCCAGGAACTCCTGCCTAGAGGGTCCCTCACGGTAGCCTTTGTAATGTCAGTGGAATTTAGACTGGCCTTTACAGGGGGTAGAACCAGAGGAGGAGAGGAGGGACGGCACTCAGCAGGAGGATATGCGCGAGTGGGTAGAAGGAAGTGACTGACGCACGTTTAGGGAACCGGCGCGGGAACGTGAACTGGAGACGGGTGGAGTAAAGCGGCGGGAGAGAAGGTAAGCTGTAACCAGACTGTGACAAGGACTAGGTGCCAAGCTCCACACGACCAATGACAGCTGTGGGTAAAAGAACTGTTACAGATTTCTGAAAAGAGCCCATGTATGGGGAGAAATAATTTAAAAATCTGATTTTGGAAAGATAAATCCGGTAACAGTTGTAACTGTGGGAGGAGAAAGTATGGAATACAAGACACAGAAGTAAATGCTGGCCTAACCTTTAATAAGTCAGTAAAAATGATCACAGAAACCACTTCAAGACAGGCAATTAACTTGCTAGGAACTGGCTGCCTAGGCAACACTAGCATCTTAAACAAAGGTGTTTCATACTTTACTTTGGTAATGGGACACTGGCATTTTTTTTTACCAACTGAACTTGCAATACTCTAAAACACATAATTTGAAATACTGCCACACGTATTTCATTATCAAAAAGAATTTACTACCTACAACCTTTAAGTAACACTGTATTGGGGACTATTAATTACAACTCACCTAAAAATCATATCCCCCATGAACTAGGAACTGTCATCTAAAATTATACTGACACTGACGATTACAATACCAGTATATATCATGACGAACACTGGATTTATTTATACAATCCATTACATATAAATTTGTGTCAGTTATAAACTGTATTCAAAGTTGCTTGCTAGATCCAATTAACCCAATGATAGTAAATGAAGTCTTCTGCTTTCTTTGGTTCCCTGATGTCAAATGCTTATAAATCCAATGTCCAATCTTCAGAGCTCTCAGAAGTTCTTCTCTTTCCACCTTTAAGTTTCTCACATGGGTCCTTTCCTCCCCTTGCTCTATCTATCCTCTCTGCCTCCTACAAAGGAGTGCGCAACCTAAACAATTGTTTTTATGTTTATGTTTATATGCCAGCTGAAAACAGACCTATGAAAAATCCTTACTTAAATCAAGGAACTCGTTTGTATTACGAAAAATCAACTCCTAATTATGCTGTATTGTAGATACTAATGTAAACTAGTATCTACATTTACAGATACTAGTTTACATTAGTATCTACATGTAATACTGAATTTTCTTAAAGCCTTTGAGCAGGGCCACACCACGTGAGTCAAGATTTAAAGTACACTTAAGAGTGGACTTCAGGAGGTTAACCTGAAGTTGGGAAACCGAGGAACAGAGAAGAAAGGGAAACAGTGAACGGGAGGTCTGGCCACGCCTGACAACGCAGGACTCACGTAAATGCTGCGATCGAGAAAGGCTAATGGGACAAGGAAAGTTCTCGTCGGCTCCCCCACCCCTGCATTCTAGATGCAGACCTAAAATTACAAACCACGTCTAGATGCATCATATTATCTATATTTGGTTTCTATAACCTACATGAGTACCTGAACATTTTTAAAAAGTAGTAATTTTCTTCTCAAGACAAAAATAAACAGGTCTAATTAAGATCTCTATATCCTGCTTTACTCTTCCGTACCTTGAGAGAAACGTAAATAGGGAACAAGCTCCACTTCAGTGAACAGAAATAAGACCCGACCAGCACACATTATGAGAGGTCATAAGCAAGACCGAGACCCAGGGGACACTGGCACGAGACTCCTCTCTGTCAAACACCGGTGCACACCCCCTTCGTGATCTAGTGACAGCTTGAAAACGGGCACGGGCACAACCTGTGATTCAAGCTCAGGCAACAGGGATTGGGTCAGCTTTAGGCCCACTGTGTCCCCTGCAGTTCCCAAGTTGAAGGCAGTCTTGGTGATAGAAGGGCCTTCCCTCAGTGATGGTCATGATTTAAGTAATGAATATGTGAACTCACACCATTGAATGTTTAGCTTTACCTGTTCCTCAACAAGTGAAGAACGAAAAAAGGTATTATGTACAGAGTTACTTCTCACAAGCATGAGTGCAGTGCATGAGGTGGCATTAAGGTTTCATAATGAACAGAAGGGAAAGAGCGTTTTCTGCTATCATTCAACAGACAAAAGCGTCTGTCTGGATAAACCTGGAGGCCATTCAGCACACAACGGACTTACGGCAGGGAAAGGAGGCCTTAAGCTAGGCTTTTTTGTACAATGCAGCAAATGGATGTTGCACGTCAGATTTTTCTTCCAAACACCTTTTCAATCGGCCGTTTGGACACACTTTCACCATCCACCACATGCTTTCACACAAACATCTTTGTCTCGTCTGAACCTCACAACAAGCCAATTACTTTTGCTTTAAAGATAAAACAACTCAGGCATGAGACATCATCTAACTGCTCCAAACCACGACGCCAGCAAACGCTGCAGACAAGTGTCTGCAGGGCAAGGCATGCGAGGAGAGCGAGAAGCTTTCAGACAACAGAGCTCTGATCTCTGATGGCTCTGGAAATATGGACAAAATGGAAAAAAGAGTAATTCCACTCTTTACTCCATGTCTGTATCTTTACAGTAAATAAAATGTATTCTTATTGGAAAATCTACCGCCATCAAGACAGCGATTCCCGCTGACCCTCCAGGCAGGCCTGCTCAGCTGCACTCCGACACACGCCCCTGTGCCAAGTGCCGTGAGCTGCCCCGGGTTCCTTGGGCCTACGTCTGGCAGCAGCAGAGCTGGCCCAAGGGACGGATTAATTCCAAGTGATTCGCAGCTACCTTAATTTCCCGTGACTTTTGGTCCCTGTTTATCATAGTATTTTGGTCCAGAATTACTTCTGGAAAGAGCCAGATCTCCTTTGGGAACTCTGTGGACTAACTCAGAATCAAAGGGAAAGCCCAGGGCAGCCCTAGAACAGTCTCCACTCCTCCACCACTGCTGCCCAAAGACGGTCACGTCTTCAGCACCACGGCTGCTCCGTCTGGCTGTTCCGTCTCGTCTCGTTCCAGCGCCTCCCCGCCTCCTTCGTGACAACGGTCTCAGGAGTCCCCGAAGGCTACCCTACGAGCCCTGGGCTCCAGGGCAGCCTGCCTGTGTCCTAGAAGCCACAGCCAGAACTCACTCACTGCGGGGTGGGGGAATACATATATATACGTAGTCAAATCCTACAGAACACTTCAGGTCATGAAATCAGTTACTTCATACTTAAATAAACGAACAGACAGGCATATACATCAATATATATTAATTTCCTTAAAACAAATAGGCATTTGTCATTATGTGAACCTTATCAGACGTGATTTTGTGCCTCAAAGTCATATTCTTCCCCAGTCACAATTTCTGCTTTAACATTCCTTTAGTCACTTGATTTTAAAATTACTAAAATTTTAAAATCTTCATTTTGCCCATAAATATAGCCCTTATTTGAAGCTGATTTATACTTTTCAAAGGCCAGATAGTGTATCTCATTTAAAAGTCCTAACAAGCCACCCTAAGTCGTGTATTACCAATAGTATTATCTGTTCTGTATTTCTAACGTGGGAACAGAAGCCCAAAGAGGACATGGTTTAACCAAGGTCCGAGGGCCAATCAGTGACAGTGCTTGCACTGAATCCGGATCTCTTGACTCCCACCTGTGTCAAATTACAGTACTGTGGAGGGCAGGGGTCCTCCTCTTTTAGCATGCTTCCAAAGCAAGAAGGAGTACAAAATAAATCCCCTTCAGTTTAAACGTAAAGCACTGCTGTCAAAATCCACTTCAGGGGATGATGTGGCAACCTGCCAGTCTAGTTCTAACCCCACAGACATCACCAGACCTGAGAGACGCAAACATCAATCAAGGGGCCATGGATCCATAAAGCTACATTAAGTAACAAGCTGATTAGACTTTTTTCCTGAAGTGAGAAAATGACTAAGAATTCATAACTTTAGTAAAAACTTAGGCCTGAGGTAAGGAAACCATGTCATACATGAACAAAGCAAACAACCTTCACGACCTGAAACACATTTTCCGTCACGCCTGCCTTCAAAACAAACACAGAGCTGGCACCCGACACTAACAGAACGGGCTGTGGCAGACAGCCCCACCTGCGCGAGGTGAGTCTCCTGATCCTTCCTGCCTCGTGGGGTCGTGAGGACGGGGAACGCTCTGGAGTTTACACACGCGTGAAGCTGACACACTGACTTATGTCAGTAAAAGTTAAGTTCTAATCTGTCTGTCCTAAACTCAGCCTCGGTCGGATACAGACCAAGCTTAAAGACCTTCCTTAGGCTGCAAGCTGCAATTGCATTCACACTATCCCAAGTTTGAACAAACTAAGCCAAGCGACTCACCCAAACAATAAAACAGTTAATTTTTTAAAGATGTCCTAGGAAAAAGGAAAGTCAATTATTTTACCTGATCCAGACCCCGATGTCGTCATATCATAAATTAAATCTTTTAACGTAGTGCCCTCTGAAATAAAAGGGCGATCCAAGGAAGGGTCCTCCTCATTGGGCACTCGATGGTGGATGGCAGCGCGGTTATGGCAGATGTAGACCATCAGCATGAGGGAGATGCAGACGAAGCAGACCGGCCCGGCAATGACAGCCGCCAGCTCCACGGGCCCGAGGCCTGGGGACGGCTTTCCTGAAAGAGGGCGAGGGCAACAGACATCAACAACAACAAACACGCTGCAGGTGACACCCACGGTTTTCTAATCCTCCACCACTTCCTGTGGGTGGCCACCGAGGCCATTAGTCATGGAGCCTCACTACAGCTGCTCACAGGGCTTGGAACCACAGCGAGTGAATCATGCGCTGCTCCCCTTTATGATCACGAACTCAGTCAACATCCACCTGTTCTTCCTGCATTTTCCAGCCATCTAAGTAAATAACAGGGCCAGCTACCACCAATACTTCAGGACCTCTCTATTTACTGCTCTCAGGTTACTAATAAAAGAACCAATAATCTGGAACAACTCCCATTAATGTATTCTTAAGTCTCATTCTTTTTAAGTAGTTCTGCCATGTGTTCTTATTCCAAGGCCAGTACACACATGCTCATAGCAGGGGGAAGTGTGTGAACACAGAAGAGCAAAGGTTATAAAACAATCACATACAGCCTCACAACCCCAAAACAATTCACATTTAGTGCATGTATGTGTGTGAATATCCCCATCAGTTTTGTTCAGGCAAAATATATTCTTTTGTTTATAACAGAGCTTGCATGTGCAAACCTTCTAGTCTATTTTAATTACTTCAGCTTTTAATTCAAGAGCATTTATTTTCTTATAATCTCTTTTAATAATTATTGTTTTACGCTGTTTCAGAAAGACATTTACTTACAATTACTTAGGCATCACCCTGAACCTTGCTGGTTCACTGCACACCACCACATCTTTAATAGCACATCTTCCCCACCGCTGACATCTTATTTGAACTGATCCCTTATGACAGAGAATTCTAATTCCAGTACTCTCTTTCGGGAAGAGTGCATGGGTCCCTATACACTGAACACTTAATTATCTCAAGGTGCCTGTTGCCTTTATAAATGAAAATTCTTGGCTTGTCTAAAGAATTCTGAGTAATGATCACTATATAATGTCCCATTGCCTTCTGGATTTAAAAAAAAAAAGCAGAAAATCTGAACTTTTTTCCCTTTTATAGTGAATCAGTGTTAACTTGTGCTAAATGTATACACATTTTTTTTCTTTATTCTGTTTTGTTTTTTATCCTCACCTGAAGTTATTTTCATTGATCTTAAGAGAGAAAGAGAGAAACGTTGATGTGGGAGAGAAGCATCAATTGGTTACCTCCTATATGTAACCCAACCAGGCATTGAACCCACAACCTAGGTATGTACCCTGACTGGGAATCAAACCTGGAACCTTATAGTGTAGGGGATGATGCTCCAACAGCGCCACCTGGGCAAGGCTTTTCCTTTACTCTTAAAATTGGTATTAATCTTGCTCTGGCTGGTGTGGCTCAGTGGACTGAGCACAGGTCTGCAAACCAAATGTCTGCCAGTTCGGGTCCCAGTCAGGGTACATGCCCAGGTTGCAGGCCAGGTCCCCAGTGTGGGGGGGGTATGTGAGAGGCAACCACACACTGATGTTTCTCTCCCTCTCTTTCTCCTTTCTGTCTCCTCTGTTTGGAAATAAATAAATAAAATCTTTTTAAAAATTGGTTTGTCTTTCATTACATGTATTTGAGTATTTTTAAATTAATTTTGCATCCTATTGTTAACTGTTGTCTGCTCTTCAATCTTTTTTTCTGGAATTTTTATACTAAGCATACGGGATCACCTAGTCTGTCCTTTGTATCTCTTAATTTGCTTACCAACTGTCTTTTTCTCTGAATTGTAACACAACTTCTCAAGCTTGTCTTGCCTTAAGCTTGTCTCACACTTGAATATATAATTATAGTATCCAGTCTACTGTTCACTTTTAACATTGTATTTAAAAAAACAATTCATCATTCGAGCTTTTCATTTGCAGGCCATCTTTAACAACTGTGAAGTGTTCTCCTTTCATAGCGAACCACTGAAGACAGACCTTGGTCTGCCGGAAAGTTCTTCCCCGTCACGTGGTGAGTCTATTCGAAAGAGTGGCATCTACCCATTTTTATCCAGTTCAGTTTACTTCTTTTAAACTACTGAAGCTTTTCAGTTGGTAATTTTTTCTGTTGTTTGCCTATCAGGGACTTGGAAATGAGGAATTTATGTATTTTTAGCATTAGAAATAAAGTAGAATAAAGGTTTTGTGAGTTTCCATTCAAATATTTCAAGTTCAAACAATGGAAACGGGCAATTTTGGGATCATTATTTTGTCACAGTAAAATTGCAGAAGCTTACCGAAAAAGCCAGAAAAGTCTGACGGAGCCTGACCACAGAGAGATTCCCTATCGTGCTGCAGACTCAGCTGGACTTCGCTGTTGCCAAGTGCACCCGGGGGAGGACTGCTTCCCTCCTCTGACTGGCAGGACGGGCCCCTTTCCTCCGAGCTCCAGCAGTGAGTGCTTCCAGCGCTAATCAGCACGAAGCCCGGACCAGCTCCCTCCGAGCAGAACGTGAGCACTGTGGTCCTCCCCTCTGAGCCCTGACACTAGTTGCTTCCTGAAGGAGGACTGAGAGAGTCTGCCCCTAAAGCCTCACTCCAGCCCCTCAGCATGTGGTATCGGAGGATGTTGTAAGAGGTCCTTTCATTTCTCACATAGTCAACTCTTCACTCATCTGAGGTCGTCTGCTCTCTAAATTGCAAAGTTCCTCACAGGTGTAGGCTTGGGGGTAGCATCATTCCATTAATTCTACTGGCATTAATACAGGCCCCCCTCTTTTTATATTTCTTTGATTATTACAGCAGAAATTTGGAATTCGAGGACAGTGACAAAAGAGTTAAATAATGTGCTCAGACTATCTTAAACCAGAACCTTAAAATTAATCTAATCCTAAGAGTTTATCCTGGAAATTCCTGGCTTTGCCAGGACATTTTAAAATGTACACTGCAGTGAAGGACCGAACACCTAGACATCATATGTAGTAATTTAAACATAAAGATCATAAGGCAAAGAAAAATCACAAAATGCATGCATCTGCACTGTTTAGCGCTGCTTTCAATCCCCATCCATTATTGATTGCCTTAAGAGGCTAGAGCATTAAACAAAGAAGAAGAAATTCACTCTGAGGACAAAGTCCGACATTCTGAGGACACGCTGCTGCTGGCGGCTTTGTCAGAGCTCACTCTGACGAGGCCACCCTTTCAGGCGCTACAGACCCCAGAGAAAGTCTGTCATGGACCCACCTTCTCAAACAACACATGCCCAGGAGTCAGGGCCTTGGCCCCTCTCATTATCCTACAACTACGGACAAGTTTCTTCTCGCCTCTAAACAGAACAAGCTGGGGTAGACAATTTTTAAGATGCTTTCTAGCTCAAAAGTCAAAGTCAGAGTCGAAGGGCCGTTCTTGTGGTATGGAGAAAACGTCTCATGCCAACTTACCCACAGTGGGGAGCTCTATTTTATTGCAGTGGTCTTGATTGCAACAGTACGGCGTCGTGACAGACCCCGTTTTTGTGGATGGAGCGCACACGAACGGCCTGTCTCGAGGGATTAAGTCGATCTCAGCTATGCACATGCTATTGTGTATGATCTTGTCTGTGGTCTCTGTGACAGAGACAAAGCAGAGCCCATCTGTGACACAAGTGAAATTGTCTTTTGTGCAAAGGTGGCAGAAGCACTGTAATGCTGGAAAAAAGAACAAGATTTTATTAGAAAACATTCTCCAAGTTAACCCTGAAATTATCCCATATTCACTATAAGATATTCCCGATCCTATCAGAGAAATTTCTTCACACTGTTCAAAAAACAAAACTCTGTTACTCTTAGAAGTCCCAAATCCTACTGAGAAGCACACACATATGTCAGTGCCAAATATGATGACACTTCCACCCAGGTTTTTTCTAAAACTTTTTTGCTTCCAAGTACAGAGAGATGGTTACATGCAATTTCATCAAGGTAAAGGCAAGGATCTGCCCTCCCATTTGGGACAAAGTACATTTAAATTTTTACTGGCTATCCTTATTCTTATTAGCCCAAATCTATTCATTCATATACTCCCCAACTGGGAAGCAGTGTGTGAAAATACTACAACCTGCCACTAAAGGTCAGAAATGTCATTCGGGTAGATTTATGGTAACAGAGTTGTATTAAGCCGCTCCTTTTTCTTGTTCAAACCCCAAGAAAGACATGTATCTTCTAGCCAGGATTAGGGTACTCTTTCCATAAGCCACAGAGAGTGTACAAACAACAGTGCACATGCGCTCTAACAACACAGGCAGGCATCTGGCTCCAGAAATGACTGGGGAAACGCCAGCTCCATGCCCACTGCATCTCCTAGTCACCACTGACACCTTCCCGTACACACACGGACATGCTTCCACTGCCCTCTCCAATGGTTAACTGCTCCCCAAAGCACACAATGCTTATCAGAATTGCTACTTTGGTTTTTCTCTCCCCTAAGAAACTATAGGCTCCTTGAGGGCAGGGACCCATAGTAATCATTTCTATAAATCCATATTTAGCATTAAATCTGGTATACAGCAGCATTCGAAAATACTAATTGAATGAACCACAGAATAGGCACTTATATTTCACTATAATCTCATGAAACTGCGGAGTACATTTCTCAAGACCAATCAAACTTTCCAATTCCTCGTTGGCAAGAAAAAAGGAAGAGTCCAGGTATGTGGAATGGCCATCTATGATGAGACCAAGGAAGTCTACTGTATCTAGAAAGAGTGCCTAGGCACACAGGCAGGCCAGAAGAAAGCTAAGATGCTGTGTAGGAAAGGGTTAACTCAACAGGCCCGAGTTGCTCAAACCCTGCACATTCCTGAGAAAGGATAGTCTTTATTCAGGGCTGGCCCTTGGCCAGTTCCTAGGAATTGAGCTCTGAACCCAGGAAATAAGAACGCTGCAGGCTGGACTGGGCCCCAACAAAAACCCTGGCTGCTAAGGCCAGGGTGAGCTCCCCTGGCTGGCGAGCGCCTGTGCTCCTGCACTGGGGGAGGACACCTGGAGCTTGCTGTTTCTCCTGGACTTTACCCCATGCACCTTTTCCTTTGATTTTAATATGAATCTTTCCACTATAATAAACAAAACCATCAGTATAACAGCTTTTCTTAATCCTATGAGTCCTTCTAGCAAACCATCAAGCCTGAGGGTGTTCTCGGTGACACCCAACTCATTTGCTAAATCCAGATTTAGGAACGTCAGGATCTCCCAGCAGCCACTCCTTGGCTGCTGGCTTAATTAGCACATGTACCTATTACCTTTACAGATCAGAAGAGGTGGACCTTAATCATTATTAAAAAATGTGTTCTTTGTTCATTGACAGGTCAGCTATTTGAATTATCTCCTCCCCAAAATGAAGAGAACTCAACAAAAGTGTAAGAATTGAAAGACTATTAATATACAGCAGTTCCTCATGGTGAGGTTTGGTGGTGATCATGGGCTCCTTGATTGAGTATGATTCTTAAGGAGCGATTCTGAGCTGGGAGGCTGTGGACTGGCTTCTGAGAGACATAGATTCCATTAACACTGTAGGCTGAATGTTGTGTGCATCTGCATTTTCTTTTCTTTAAGGATTTTATTTATTTATTTTTAGAGAGGAAAAGGGAGGGAGAAAGAGAGGGTAAGAAATATTGATGCGAGAGAGAACCTTTAATTGGCTGCTTCTAGCATGCCACCCTACCCAGGGCCAAACCCCAACCTAGGCATCTACCCTAACTGGGAATAGAACCAGTGACTCCTCCTCCTCGTCTGTGGGGACAACACCCAACCAACTGAGCTGCACAGGTCAAAGCTGTGTTGGCATTTCCATGGAGAAGGTTTATAGCTTTCAACAGAACTACAAAGGGGTCTGTCACCTACAAAAGACTAAGACCACCACCATAGGAGATTGTCATCCTTCTCTCATGAATCCTCTTTACTCAAGAGTAGTCATTCAACCAAGGTTTTCCAAGCACTAGCTTTTTTATCAGTTACCCTGCCAAAGGCTTAGTATACAAAGATCAGGACCGTGATTCATGGTCATGGCCCTTGAAGAGCCCCAAAGACTAGTGAAAGAGAACATCACAGTAGAATGTGGTAATTGCTATGTGTAAAAATTCTGCCATGAACACTCTCCGAGTCCTACGATCTTTACAGCTCTCTTAGAGTACATGAAGTAATACTTAAACATTTGTTCTAACAATTATACATTTTACTTTTGGGTTCCACCTTACCACTCACATTACAAATGCTGCCTAGGGCCACACCTGTCTCATCATTATGATAATCATGTCTTTCATGACCTTGGTCTTAACACGTATCATCTCTCTGCCTAGTTTAAACCCACCCTCTCATCCTTTAAGACCCTGTTCCAACCAGATCTTTCCCATGATGTGCTCTAAACCCCTCTCCTACCCTGAAGATATCTGGGAAGCTCCTTCCAGTAAGTCCCCACAGCCCTCCTAGCATACCATTAGGGTGGCACAAATCAAACTATTTATAGTTTGTTGTTAAAGTGTCTCTCATTACATTAAGAATGGCCCAATTTTTTGTTTGTTTGTTTTCTCATCTTTGAATCCTGGATTCCTAAATAGTGATCAGAAAAATATTTGCTCAAGCAGTGTTTCACAAACAGGAGGTCACAAATATGTCACAGGACAGAAATGGGAGTCTAAGAACTATACACTATTTTTTTTTTAACATTTAATTTCAAAGATAAGAGAAACATTCTGGATCATAAGTGACTGCCATCCAAACAAGTACTGCCAGCAGGCTTTCTCTGCTGCTTCTTCAGTTGTACAAAAACCTCCTTCAGGCCAAATATCCTCCCAGCACACTGTACGAGCAAAGGTTTAGTAGTAATTGTAACCGAAAGAGTGAAAATCAGAGCATACGGTATCACAGGCACAGTACATTCAAACGCCAACAGCTAGCAGACAACACCATATACACGCTGCAGACATTGCGTGAGTCCCATCTTTGCAGCACGATTTGTGAAAGTTCATTAGCAGTAAATGTGGTTGTAAGTATGAAATGACATTTTTCCATTCTCACTCCAGCATTAATTGGTTTAGAGAACCATTTAATAAAGATTTCACTAATGTCATAATGTTAACCTCATCTTCAAGACGGCAGACAGCTCATTAAAACTGGTATTTGAGGAATGCTTATTGGCCAGTGTTTTGCTCAGGTGTGGGGGCTGACTATCCCAAGCTTCCAAACAGCCTTGAGAACATAGACACCATCTTGCACGACGTAATTTATGAGACTGGGCACTTGCAGTTTTCAGTATCACTTAAGCTGAAATACAGAAACAGATTTCAAACAGAATCAGACCCAAGGCTATTTTTTAAAATTGTATTTTATTGATTATGCTATTACAGTTGTCCTAATTTTTCCTCGAGGCCCCCCTCCACCCAGCACCCCCCACTCCCTCAGGCACTCCCCCCATCAATGTTCATGTCCACAGGTCATGCATATAAGTTCTTGGGCTACTCCCTTTCCTATTCTGTACTTCACATGCCCATGACTACTCTTCTGACCACCTATCTGTACTTCTTAGTCCCCTTACCTGTGTACCCATTCTCCCCCTGCCCCTCCCATCTGGCAACCTTCCAGTAACTAACTTCTATTCTCTGGCTTCTAAGAGTCTCTCTTTAACTTTTGGCCTCTTCATAATGATGTGTCTTGGACTGGGCCTCTTTGCATCCATCACAATTGGGACTCTGCACCTCCTACATTTGCCCATTTCCTTCATCAAATTAGGGAAGTTTTCTTTCATCATTTTTTCAGATAGATTTCCAATTTCTTGCTCTTTCTCTTCTCCTTCTGGTACCCCTATGAGGCAAATGTTGGACCTCTTAAAGTTGTCCCAGAGGCAGCTTATACTGTCATCATTTTTTTTATTCCTTTTTCTTCTTCTTGCTGTGTAGCAGGTTTTGCTTCCTTATATTCCAAATCACTGATTTGATTCTCAGCTTTATCCACTCTACTGTTGTTTCCCTGTAAATTGTTCTTTATTTCAATTAATGTATCTTTTGTTTCTGACTAGATTTTTTTTTATGCTGTTGAGGTCCTCACTAAGTTCCTTGAGTATGCTTATACCCTGTGTTTTGAACTCTGCATCTGATCTATTGCTTTTCTCCATTTTGTTCAGCTATTTTCTGGCAGTTTTGATCTGTTCTTTCATTTGGGCCATGTTTCTTTGTTTCCTCACTTTGGCAGCCTCCCTATGTTTGTTTGTATGTATTAGGTAGGGCTGCTTTGACTGTGTCTTGGTAGTGTGCCATAATGTAGTAGGTGTTCTATAGGGTCCAGTGGCACAGCCTCCCCTATCACCCAAGCTGTATACTCAAGGTGCACCCTTCATGTGGGCTGAATACAACCTCCCCTTGTAGCTGAGCCTTGGTTGCTATTGGCAGATCAATTGTAGGGATTTACCCAGGCCAGTCAGCTGCAAGGACTGGCTGTGACCACTGACCACCAACCTCCGCCCTCCATGGAGGATGAGCTGTGCAGGGGCAGGGTGGTGGCATCCCAGCGTGGTCTGTAGCTATCCACTGGGTGGGTTGGCCCTGGGGTTTCGTGGGTGGTGCAGGCCAAGATCAGCCCCGACCCCTGTTTTGCCTGGAGCATCCTACCTGAGCTGTAAAGCAGTCTGAGATGGCTGCTACTTATGTTGGGCTTGGAGATTC